CAAACAAACAAACAAAGAAGACCAACCAAACAAACACAAACACGCAGCGCCGGGGAGGAAGGGGGGGGGGGGGCTCACCGCCGCGGCCCAGCCAGCCCCGCGCAGCGCCAGCGGGCCCGCGGCGCGCCGGGCGGCTCACCTTCTCCTCCACGCAGTTGACGATGATGGAGGGGTACTTGCGGCTGAGCCAGCGGAAGAACGCCGGGACCCCCATGGCGGGGCCGGGACCAGGGACGGGGACCGGGATCGGGACCGGGACAGGGACCGGGATCGGGACGAGCGGCTCCGCCGGCGCTTCCGGGGTCGGGGGCGCGCGGGGCACGGCGGGAACGGGGCGGGGCTCTGAGCCGCCATCTTGGGTGCGGGCTGAGGGCACGGCCATGGCGGAGGGAGGGACCGGGAGGGAACCCTGAGGGAATCGCCTCCCGCAGCCCCCAGACAGCGCCCGGGCAGCTCCCGGGGCACCAGAGGGGCGCACAGGGCAAAGACAAAGCCTGAGGGCTCCAAAAAGACACCCGCACAGGGCAGAGGCAAAGCCTGAAGGCACCGGAGGGACACCCTCAGAGGGCAAAGGCAGAGCCCGAGGGCAGATGTGCCTGAGGCGGCACGGTGTGACAACTTCCCGCCATGGGCGGCCCTCAACAGGCAGTTTATCAGGAAAAACACCCTCCCTTAGCCCTTTGTTAATGAAAGCCAAGCGCGGGCTGCCGCTGCGGGGGGTTCGGGCAGCAGCAGCACTCGTCAGGGTTGCCCGACGAGCCAGTAATGACACATTTCCAGAGACATCAGTGATTTATTTCAGCGCTGCCCAGCCCTGGTGTATTCCACAAACGCACCGTTATTTATACACAGAAAGCCAGAGTTAGTAACTTCCCAAGCACAGCCCATCTATTAGGATTAATTAGTAATTTTCATGCAAGTTACACAAGTTACATCAACTTCCCTGCGTCCTCAGAGAAAGGGTTTTCACCTGCGCAGGGTCTTTTTTGACCCAAAGGCGTGATTTTTAGTACTACAACAAACACAGTTCAGCTATAGGATATGCAGTATTTTGCCAAGTTAATAATGTATACACAGACAGACATTAACATCTTGATTTACTGCATCCTTAAAACCTGTTTGCTCCTGGATGCCCTTGACAAAGGGATGGATGCCCTGTCCCACTGGTCAGCTCTCCTTTCTTGCTGGTTAGGCTTGAGAGTGTACAAAGATCAAACATCAAAGAACATCCTGACTCAAGATAATCTTGACACATTCCACATTTTGCAACACCAGGAGTGGTTCAGGGCACGGCCGTTCCGTCCCCTCTGAAGGGGCCGTTTCCAGACGCAGCCGGTGTGAAACGGCTCCATGTGATCCACGAGGCAAAGAGCCCCCGTCCCCTCGCTCTGCCCGTGGCATAAGCAAATACTATTAATTTATGGCTGTTTGAAGGCGCCGAAATGGAATTAAACCCTCGGGTATTAAACGGGATTAACGGGAGGCAGATTCTGCGCTCCGCCGTGTCCCGTCGCCGCACAGCAGCTCCCTTCGGAGGGCAGGGACGGGGGCGAGGACAGGGAAAAGCAGCCCGGGAATCATTAACAAAAATAACAAAATCTCAGCAGTGCTTGTTGAGTCAATGCCGCCAATTTGGGGAGCGGAGGGGAACCTTGGTACTGGGCTAATTCTCTGTAGAGCAAATTAACCCAATATTGCGCCTCTCATTATTCTTATCCTCACTTGGCTGTTGTTAAGCCGTTTTCTGTTGTCGTTCCTCTCAATAAAATCTGTGACTTGAATAAATTTCCCCAGCAACTTTGTAGTGGCACCACACCTGTGGTATCAGCTAAAGATTGTCCTTTATCTCTTCCTTACAAAACAGTCCCCTGATTGAAGCTTCCTATTGTAGTACTTCTCCTCCTGGAATTTCGTGCCCAGTACGGCAGCTTAGCGTTAACATTTAGTTTGTATTGATGGGCAATCAGTTGTTTTTCTGATAATGCCAAAGAGAAACAGAAGGCTGGCAGACACAAACGAAATGCGATCGTCTTATCTT